CGATCGATCGCGAGGCCACATTGGCGACAATCTCTTGGCTAGAAAGAAAGTACCTTTCAGTATTCTGACGACGCGACATTGGTGCTAAGGCCGTAGTTAGATGGGAGGCTTATGATCGATAATTTCCGATTCGTGATCAATGATCCATTGAATTTTTATTTCGTACTGTGCCTTGTAATATTGTTGCTGAAGTTGCGTGTTCGCAATTATGCTTTAATCCTCGTTTGTCTGTTATTTTTCCAACTCAGTTTGTCTCCTTTAGTGAAGTGTTAACACTTACGACGAGAAAAGATAAATAGTCAAAATTGCGAATTCTTTTATTAATAATAAACAGCCTATAAATTTAAACACGGATATAATATAATCGAAATAATATTTACAAAACTATCTAATTCACTTTGATCTAAAACAATTTCAATATAGTAATACAAATGCCATACTATTATAAAATATCGTACAACTGTAACATAACAACATATAAACTAAATCAAACAACAATACAAAGTAAATAAATAAAATAAACAAAAGTAAAATTTATATAAAGACATGTACGTATCTTTGAAGAATATTACAATTATATTACAATCGGAACTTGCAAAAGTATTTTTATTCCTCCAGCCTTAATAACACGAAAGAGAGAGAGAGAGAGAGAGAGAGAGAGAGAGAGAGAGCCAAAATGAAAAATATTCACGCAAACGTCTAACAAGCAGTCATCGAAATTCACACACGTAGGCGAACGACTAGGAATAATTCGTACACTTAAGAGCCATGTCTGATTTTTATCTCGCGAAAGAAGAAGCGTCGCTACTTACTCATCGATCATTCGTTGCACAACACACTTGATCGTTGTCGAGAGTCGAAGTTTAACGCGGCGAAATGACAGTCTTTCGACGATAGGCTCGAACGAGCATCTCGCGATCGATAGATCGCGGAACGCGTAGATCACGCGCGTGATAAGATCGGCGCACAGGATCTTTTATTGTCTCGACGTCGGCGTTAATTCATCGATACACGCGTTTTAAGATATCCGCGACGGCGAAGGACGAGTTTGAACGTTCGCGCGGCAATTAATCGAGACGATCATCGCGAAACTCGTCGTCCCATTTCGATTCTTATTCACGATGAGATTACTTGCAATGTTGCCAGGCATACAACCTCGACAGCGAGTTTCTGTTTTCGATTAAAAACAAATGTTTGCGAGTATTTTGTAAAATGTCGAAACTTCTGAGGTATTTTATTTATTTATTTTTTTTCTCTCTCTTTTAAATCGGATTAAGAGTTAAAATTAGCGGTTTTAAGTCAATTTGGGATGGATATGGAAAAATTCAATATTTCGAATAGACACTCAAATTTAAACAAATTTCGCTACACTCGAATTTAAATTTCAGGTTGTATGAAGTTAAAACTGAAAGTCTAAATCTGATCGTAAATTAAAGATCGTAACAAAAGAGGAAGAGGAAATTCTCGAGTTCGAAACAACTTCTGGAATCCAAATTTAAAACGAACTCTATAAACCTAAAATTCTAATGAAAGAAATCCAAATGTCAAGCGTCTGAATTCCTGAATTCCAAATTGAAACGTAAGTCATAAAATACGAAGAGGTTAAAGGCCAGAATACAACGAAAAGCCCAGGATTTTAATTTGAACTTGTAACGCAAATATTGAACGTCAAATGCGAATATCAAAATCTAGATCGAAAGTTAAAAGTTCTTTCCCAAATCAGACTTTCAGCACATCTGCCATTATCCTGCTCGAATCGCGTGCAATTAAAATTAATTGAATCCATCTCTGACACCAAGCTAATCCCTCTCCCCATCGTTTGCTTCTGAACTCGTTCTGAATATCTGTCGATCGTCTCGGAACAGAACGACCCCCACCCACGATCATTCGAGAATCGAATTGAATCGTCCCTGAAAGAGAAGTTGGTGTAATACATATTTATTTCATATAGAAAACGCACACATACACAAAGAAAATAATAATAATAGTGACTCTTCAGGAAGCAAAAGTAAATTTTATTCGGTGCCATTACTGTAATTCAAAACAATCAACCTTTTTCTTTTTCAATCGGCACAAACTCGTTATCCTCGTCGCTTAAAACATTTGCTAGTACAACATCTCATTTTCATTGTTAATGTGAATTTCTTCGAATGACTTGGCCTCAAACTTACCTTGTGGCAAGTTTTCATAAATTTGCTGACATTCGCTGCAACGAAATTTTCTTTAAAATTTTAAGGCTCGTCTGAATCAAAGTCTACAATGTGTTTTCTGGCCACGTGTAAATTGATGTCACGCGTTATTTTCAGCTAGAGACGGGATCGAGCACCTTACAAGCAGGTTCGAACTTTCAGTCGACAAAGTCGATTGTACGTGTGTATAGAAAAACAGAAAACTCGACGTACACGCGTCTGACGCTTGCAGAAAATCTCGCGTTTGAAGAGGCCTACAAGCAAAAGACCCATATTGTACGTGTGTAATTGGAAAGAAACATATATCGTTTTGTACAATGCACGTGGTATCACTTTCATCCTTCATCGACGATTTCTCTTTCGAGTGAAAGAGCACAGAATTATTTTGTAGAATTTCTGATTTTTAATTCGAGTGCTGGTTTCGAATTTTACAAATGTCGAGCCATTTACAATCTCTCAAAAGCTACAGGTTCTTATTTCAATACTCGAAAACTAGCTTAAATATATTTATTTTATACAAGAAATATGTGTTCATAAGTATTTCGATTGTTACATATATGTTGTATTCGTCTCATTTTCCATTGTGTATTTGTATGTATTTGTATATGTACATTATTCATTCATTATATGTTATATTATACACTTATTCATTTGCAATTGTATACGTACGTTATTCATTCATTTTTTTATCCACATATGTACATTATGTATTCAGTTGCACACGTACATGTACACGCTCGCACGAAGCGAACACGTTCGTTCCACAACATCCGGTCGTGAAATGGACGCATTCGCGCGAAGCAAAACGCAACTGTTTGAAATCATTTTCACTTTGGACAGTCGTTTAAAACCCATCGAACGAAGCCTAGATATCGGATTCGTAAGTCGAGACACGTACGTACATACAGTGGGCTCGATCCCATCCGCGATCTGCGGCCAGTCGCGAGCATAATCGCGAGGGTACGATTCCCTCGGACGCCGAAGACTAGATAAGGGACAAGCCTTAAGAAGAAATCCCCGTGGGCCGTGGCGCGCGAAACGATCGCAGCGAGTCGCAGAAAACCGGCAATTCTCGCGCTGTAACGAGCGTGACGTCGCTAATGATCGAACATTATCGCACACTTTTGTCAGGCACAGAAACGTCCCTTTTCTCGGTGCCACCGTGTCACCGTGTAGTGTTCTCCACTGCACTCAGATTAACCGTACGAGCTCGAAAGCCGCCGATTTCCCGGCGATAACCGACTATTCTAGTTGTGTACAGCTTGTTCGAGTCGATTTCCGCGGTTAAGTGCTGATACGGTTGAAGACCATAAGTCGCATGGGGAGGAATGCTCGCGTGAATCTCACTCGCGCGCGAGAAACGGCGAGGGGTTGCAGTTAAGATTGTGGTGGAACGATTATCAGGGTATTAATAAATTGAAGAGGGTAATTGGAATATCGAAAGTGAGATAATTTAATAAGTACGCGCGATAGTGAGGTGAATAGAAAGAGGGTTTTACTGACTTGTTTGCGCCACGATTTTCCTCTATCGTTCGTTTCGGGGTCCCGTGCGATAAAGGAGACACTTTGATAGATTTCATTAAAATATATGCATAGCTTTTAAATATAGTCTAAATATTGAATATTATTAAAATATAGTATTTAAATATATGTATAATGTTCGAACAGCTGGCCTCTAATAAAACGTAAAAATATTCTGCGTATAAATTATAAAACGATAATAATTAAAATAAATAGACTGATACAATTACAGAAGCAGGTATGATTGTGTAGTGTCAATATTCAATGTCATCGAAAAATATACGACTGAACATAAATAGTTTATGATTGGATATATATGTTACAAAGTAACGATATAGGCACAATAAATTATAAAATAATAGTTATTAATATTATGATATTTATAACAAGTTATAAAATAAAATTAACATATACTTTTAAATAAAAATTCATAGAATGCTGTATAAAATATTCAAATTATAATACTTCTTATAATTTTTAATAGAAATATATTTCTCTTTAAGTACTTTCTTAAATTTCCTAAATTCTATTTGGACGACCATTAATCATAACGAAATATCAGAATAATATATTATAAATAAATGTACGTATGTAATGCACGCGTACATCAATAAATTACAAAAACGATAATTATCGGGATATCGGAATATTCAGTTCGAGATAACTTCATCAATAAAAGTTTATCGTAATTGGAATAACACTGGAGGGTTAGCGAGAAGATAAAAATGAGGGTTGTTGTGCATCTATCGATCGATCGTCATGTTGGAAGATTGATCGCAAGATAAGCGTGGTAATAAATCACGGACGATAATTGAAATATTGGAAATTCAATAGAGACTCATTAACAAGAGTTTATCATAATAGAGAAACGAACTCTATTATGAGAGCAACGAAAAGATAAGAATAAAGGTTACCACGGATTTATTCGAAGGTCGATTATCAGACACCCAATTATCGTAGCAATAAGTTACAAACGATAATTGGAATACTGGAAATTCTATTATTGAGATAATTTCATTGATAAGAATTTGTGAGAACTTGTAGTCAGAGTATCGTTGAACAGGTGCTGCCTCGAATGAGTCTGTAATTAGTGGATACATTTAATTGTCCATTAATATCAATCCATAACCAACGATCGAGTTATATTATATATCTCGAACAGAATAATTGGAGGAGAGTATTTATTAAATCGATATTAAAACGTTCGATTATTTGAGATTCAAATGATCTCTTGAAACAATCTCCAAAGACGATTTCCTGAAAAACTGGGACCAGATCATTCCTCAGATTAGTAAATTATTAGAAAATCTACAGAAAACATAGATTAAAATTATTAATTTGTAAAATTGAACTGACTCATTTACAAGATTAAAACAACTCATTCCTAAGAAAAAAAAAAAGAAAGAAAGAAAATTACATTTAGACTGAGAAACAAACATCGAACAAAATACGATCGCGTCTCGGTGCAAGTGTCACGAGTTAAAAGAGTATGAAAAAAATCACGTTTGTTCCTACGCAACAGAAGTCGTTCTATAAACGATAAGGGATCGTAATAACCACCAAGTGTCAGTGTTGGCTGGCAAAAGGCAGAGTGATGGAATTCGCGTAGGTAGAGCCGCGGAAAATCCGCGGGTGGGCACCAGTCGTTCGTCGCGATTCGTTTGCCGCGAGAAACGCGAAACGCGTTCGTTTCCGAGCGCGCGTTTATTAAAGCTATTTCCGCCGGTGAGACAAGTCGACGCGGCTGTTATTGCGTTACACCGCGACACGTAACAAGCGTGACGCAAAAAGGATGTAGTAATGATTATGCGAGCGTCGCACAATCAACGAATGAACGGTCCCCGTCAGCGTGACTTCTTTTTCTCAGTCGCAGCCACGGCTCGTGAAACGTGTAATTCGCCGCTTCTCGCGAATTTGCCACTCGACAGTGATTAACCTCTTCGGGGACGGATTTTTAATTTTTTAGTAAGTAAGGAAAATAAAAGAATTAAGTTCACATTTCGTAATTTCAAAAACAATATAAGACGTAAATTAACCGTCCATATATGTGGCCAAGGGCATGAGCAAAAGCTCCCTTTTTATTACTTATTATTAATCTCTTGTGTAATTTCTGTATATTTCAATTTTTTAAATAAAAAATTGTCCATTATACGTATGTGAGTAATTCCAGTCTAGTGTAATAATTTCAACCTCTTTCACGAGCAATCGCTCGATAATTTGACCTATTGACGATTATTCAATTGCAATATCAAGTCACGTTACAGTTAAATTCGAGAACCAAAGAGTTTCTTGAAATTTCACAGGAATTACAGTATCCTTCCCCCTTGACATTAAAAACGTAAAGTGCAGTTATATAATATAAATTTACTGAAGATAATTAGAAACAAAATGTTGTACTAACGTTGGACATTTGTTCAAGGATTAATTTAATGCAGTTGTATAACAATTATGAATCGTTAAATATCTATGATATAATACGTAATTTTGTTTTTAAGACAAACAAACCTTGTTCCTCGAGTAGACCTGGAGCACATCAGCCCACCATTTGGTCTCCTCGCGGCAGGTGCCTTTCACGAAGGTAACTCCTTCCGGCGAGGTGATCGCCAGGCTGTACGGATGTCCAGTGATGTCTTCGGCAGCAGCCACCTCCAACACGCGGGTCATGTCGATCCTCGCTTGGGGAATTGTCTCCGGCTGCAACAGAAACACCATGTGATGAACACTCGTCAATCATCTACAAATCTCTCTTGGTCGACTAATATGATGGTTCAATAATCATTTGGAATTAATTTTTCTATTCGAAACACTTTTCTACTTTTTATTTTCTGTTTAGAGATATTCTGTCGTGCAGTGAATAATTTCTGTGAATAATTTTAATCAATAACGTGTCAGATATCCTTTTGTGCAGTGAGTCATGCTGTGAGATTCAACTTGTACTATATACTTCATTACATTTATTATATATGTAATATGTAACGTGTTGGAGGTATATATTTTAGTATAAATATATGCTTATTGGAATACCTGTACTAATTATTATATTAATCGTATAAATAATACACATAATATACCAAGTATATACATTATTAAATTACTATGTTATTATATTCGTACGTTCAGACTGTTTGATCTTACTAAAAAATTTGTAAGACATTGAAAATTAATAGTGACGTTAATTCAATAGCTAGGGGGGCTGTGTATTTCACAGGAATATACACGACGAAGACCTAGAAACACAGAAATGCCAATTGAGTCAATTGTAATGTACAATGTAATCTGCATCTGGAGTAATGCTCGTTCCCCGATCGATAGAGAGCAATTAAAACATCGATCGGCCATTGATCGTATGTAAATATTTCAAGGAATTGTCAATGGCGCGCGGATGGTTCAATTAAAGCTTCGTCGAACGCTTTGTACGTGGCTACGCTGAAATCAACTGTCCAACTCTGCTTCAATTAAGGACGCTTTTTTAAAAGGTCAGGTATACAGAACGATAACGCTCGAGAGGATCGGTTCCTCGGTTTAATTGATACAAATCAACTGGCAATAGTTGTAAATTAAACGATCAAATTCGCGACTGTTCGATT